CCTCCCAGAGCTGGGCTTCTGCTCCTGATCCAATCTTGAGCTTTACCTAGAATGCCCAACTGTGTGACTACCACAGCTAATAGGTCAAAGACTCAACTTCATTTTTTCTTCTCTACCTTAATCGTAAACCCCAAACTTGTTGCCATCATCCACATCACTTGCTCTCTCAGCTCCTCAACACCTCTTTGGCTTCTGCTCCAGTAGGTCATCAGCCCCCAATCTGACAGTTTCTCTGTCAAAATCTTGTGAAGCTGCTTGAGGGTGTCAGTGACAAGTGCCCTGGTCCAAGCCTCCTCTTTACTCACTGGGATATTTCACAACTACCTAGTTTCCTTATCTTCCTTTTATATGTTCTATACTTAACTGTTCTATCATCTTTCAAAAATACAGGCTTCATGACATTGCTCTTCAGCCTTGTTTCCTTGTTCTCCCCATCTCTCTGGCTATTTTCTCATCTTTATCTTCCACAACTCTGTCATCATCCAACAGCTTCACATTGGATGGGTTCTCCTGCCTCTTGTATGCTCCCACCCTCTCAGCCTTTCCTCCCTTTCTTCCGCAGATCTCTCTTGAGGGTCTGCCTCTGTGCTAACCACTGGGCAGGCAGCCTGTGAGCAAGATACTCACAGTCCCTGCCTTCAGGTGGCTAAGTCCATTTGGGAAGTCTATGTTCGAAAAACATTTTCCAGAGCAACTGGCAGAATTGTTTTCGCCCAAAGTTTACTCTGAAGTTCTTAACATTCTAGAATTTGAAACTTGAAACAGAAACATTGAAAGTTTAAAATGTTAGCCTTTAAAATTAATCATTTTAAAATTAGAATTCTCTGTTACAAATACAAAGAAGAAAGGGTATCAAACGTGAATAATGAGAGATTCTAATTCAGGAGACACAGTAGGGGAAACATAAACCTGATATTATCTAACACAATGAACAAGAGGGCTCAGTTTCAATTATGTGGTGCATGTAGGCTCCATCCTGTGCAACTTTTTGATATCTGGTGGGTAGTCCTTTCTGGAAGCTCAGAAGCAAACTGAAACTTCCAACTGACTTCCAAGGACTGTGAGAAGAGGCCCTAATATCCTGCAAGACTGGAAAGAGTGGTGCAGATGTTCTTCAAATGCATTAAAAATTTCTTTGGCATCTGATAGAATCCAGTCTTCATTTTTTTCCCTTTCTGCATTTCCTATAATGTTTAGAATGTTTAGCACAGAGCCTGACATGTATTAGGTACAAATAAATATACAATGAGTTGATAATATTGAGTGAAATCATGGCCAAAGGGGCCATGGCTTAAAGGTGGCATTGGTATGGCAGAAACAGAAGTGTAGCAGAGATGACAGTGTAGCCCTCCTAGGAAGTACTCATCTTTAAAGGCATCCTAGCCGGGCACTGGTGGCTCACGCCTATAACCCTAGCTACTCAAGATGCAGAGTTCAGGAGGATTGGGGTTTGAAGCCAGCCTGGGCAAATGGTTCATGAGACCCTATCTTGAAAAAACTCTTTACAAAAAAAGGCTGGTGGAGTGGCTCAAGGTGTAGGCACTGAGTTAAAACCTACTACTGCAAAAAAAAAAAAAAGCATCCTAAAAGAAGGGTAGGGGGGAGGTCGCACTGATCAAAAGTAATCAAAAGAACATAATTCAGTTTAAGTATATTACAAGTAAAGCAAATCACATAATTAAGAAAAACTACTAACGTGTTAGAGAAAGTTCTCAATCTTCAATCACTAGACACACACACACACACACACACACACACACACACACACACACACACATTCAATGGTGTTGTGGTTTGGATCTGAGATGTCTCTAGAAGGCTTGGTCCCAACTGGGTTTGCTATTCAGAGGGTGACTAGATGGTGAGAACTTTGATATAATGATTTCACAACATGGTACCATTATTGGGAAGTGATGGAGACTAGGAGGTGGGGCCTGGTTGAAGGAAGCAGGTCATTGGAGTGGGCTTTTGAAGGGTATATTTTGTTCCTGGTCTCTTCCTCTTTCACTCTTTCTGCTTCCTGGCAATCATGAGCTGAGCAGTCTCCTTCTCCACCTGCTCCCACAGCCATGATATCTGTTTCAACTCAGACCCAAAGCAATGGAGCCAGCTGACTGTGGACTAAAACTTCTGAAACCATGAACCAAAACAAATCTTTCCTTCTTTTTGAATTGTTTCTCTCAGGCATCCTGTCACAGTGACAAAAGTGACTAATTAGATGGTATTGTTATTAATGATAAGTATTCTAGAACTGGTGTTTGAATTTCTCTTTAATAGCCAGGAAAAGAAGTTTTATTTTTAAAAGACACTTAAGAAATTAAAACCTGAGGAAAGACAGAAATGAGTACTGGGATATGAGGAATGCTTTTCAGTTCCTTTTAAGAAGTTTAAGTTAGAGCTCAATTAAGCAGGCTAATTACTTTGTTCTACTTCTGTCAAAGTGGCCTCCATTCAGCAATACTGACGTTTTTTCAGGTGCAGCAAACAGGCATTCATTCACACAAACAAGACCAGACCATGGAAAGAAAGGTCTGATATAGGATGAACCAGACAATGGGGCTCCTTATCACCACACTTTGTCCAAAATGCAAGCACTTCAGAAAATAAACACAGCAAAGCAATGGCTGGCCCCCTTTAGCAAGACAGAGCTTCCAAAAGGTCATGAAAGGCTAGGTGACTGACCCAACTTTTCAAATCAGACTGGGAAAGAACATTCCAGGCAGCTCTATGGATGGGCTCAGAAAAAGATTTCATCTTTTTTTTTTGGAGGGGGTGTGCAGGGAATGGAACCCAGGACCTTGCACATGCTAAGCGCATGCTGCACTACTGAGCTCCATGCCCAGCCAGCTCAGGTTTCATCTTTTAAACACACAGTGTTCAGGAGCCAGCAGTCAGGAGTGGGTGAAATGGCTGGTGGGAGGTTCTGCTCAGCAAATGCAAGTCAGCAGGCTCTGGGAGGGGACAAGAGATTGACCTTTGCTATTTGATGCTCATATGCCAAGTGATGTCTGCTACATGGACTGGCTGTGATGAATGGACTATTTGGCAGTTGAGGTGATGGACCCTTTTGGTCCTGCCCACTTGGCACCTTCACCCCTGGCTCTACAAATGCCCTATTTTATTTCAAATCAAGTAGCTAGCAAACTGGATTCAGTCTGACACTTAATATTTTGTCTTCAGTAGGAATTCTGAGGCCCTTCCCCTGCTGAAAATTATTTTTATTTATTAAAATTTTAAATTTATTTTTTAAAATTTATTTGTTTTTGCTATGTTGGGGATGAAACCCAGGGCCTTGCACATGGTAGGCAAGTACTCTAACACTTAAGCCACACCCCCAACTTGCTGAAAAGTTTTTAGGAAACACAAACTCTGGGAAAGGAATGGAGAATCAGGTTTACTGAAGTTACTCTGAACACCCACTTTTTTTTCTTTAAATAGAAATACAGTTGTCAAAGAGAAAGCAGTAATTTAAATGCCAAAGGCACAAGGCATAGCTGAGGAAAGGAGGGGTGTTAAGATGATTAATTATACTCACGGACTCCTCAATACTGGTCTCCTAGGCTCGAGTTTAACAGACTTGCCAATTAGTTACTCGTGAATCATTCTCCACTTGCCTCGTTTCCCTTCAAAGTTTGCACTCAGCAATTTGCACTTACTTAAATATCAACTTATATGGTTTTGTTTTTAGGGTGAAAGAGTAGTATCTTAGTATTTCAAGAACTAAATTGGTCATTTCAGGAAAGTTCTCTGCTGTAGTGCAGAATTCAGAATGCAGTGGGATCATTTTAGATCTTGTTAACGGAACTGATGAAGAAAAGAAACATAAGGACTTAATTTTCAGTAATGAGTTGAGGAACCTTACAAGATGCTATTGCAGAGCCCTCAAAAGTCAGTTTCTATGAAATGCCAGAGCAGCTGTTTTAGTAAAAACAAAATGGGGACAAAGGAGGGTCATGTTCATGTGTGGCTCCAGATTCAAGCAGAGGGGATTTCTGTAAGATGTCAAGTTACCTGCTGCTAATTCCTCTGAAAGTGCCCAGTTCATTTTCATGTGGCCTGTTCAATACAGTAAGTTCTTAAACCATATGGAATTACCCCTTTTTATTTCCTATAAGCCCTTTCTACTACCCAACAATTATTCTTTAAAAGTTACTTATTTATTCAGCAATACATGCCAAGCTCCTAACTGTGACCTAAGTTCAGTCTTTATCAACGAAGCCCCAAAGCAAGTGCTGGATCCAGTGCAGTCTTCAGAATGGGACACCCACCTCCTGCCTGTGATGCTCACTACCTCTCAACCCTCCCTGCATGTAGGGAGTCTCGGCTCAGAACCTGGGCCTTCATAGGGACCACGCCTGGTCCACACTGAGGGGTGTCTCAGCAGCCTGCCCAACACTACTTTCTAAAGCATGGCAATGTCTCACGTTTGAGAAAGCATATGAGATATTCTTGGAAACTCTTAACAAGTGGCAGGGTAGGGAGTAGGAGCACTAATCCTTTAAGGGAAAATGTTAGGTAAACAGTGCCAATATTCAACTTGTAAGGTCACTCAGTGTGGCAATAAGGAACTTCATGCAGGATAAATTAGGATTTTAAATTTGGGGAAAATTACAAATGTGTTTACTGGATTTGAAAAGATTTAAAATATCAGTGTTAGATTGGAGGTATGGCTTAAGTGGTAGACTATCTGCTTTGCAAGAGTGAAGTCCTGAGTTCAAACCTCAGTTACACACACACACACACACAAACAAGTTAATGCCTAGGTTTCTGCTCTTAAAAAAATACCTTGGTGTTTATGGATCTAGTTGGCTATATAGAAACTCAGGTGACAGTTGTCAGATCCTTTTGTAGAAAAATGATCATGAATCGACAGATTCAAAAACACTGAAAACTTCTTACACAAAATGTACTTGTAATGATAAAATAAGTCTTATTTTACAGAGCAAAAGGCATGGGGAAACCATTTCCCACTTAAAGCAAGTGTTACAAAAGCAACTCACCTGGAAATCTTGGTCATCAATTCCAAACCTCTCCCGAAGATTCCGGAACACCATTGGGCAGTATTCCTTAAACTTGAAATGGCTTGGCATGTTTTCTCTGAAACAAACACATTGTTGAATAGAGCTCAGGCAGATGAAGAGGTAACCAGGTTTGACTGTTCCCATTTAGAGGGAAGGGTGTGGCATTCTTTGTCCACGGAAGGCACAGATGATTACACAGAACCAGGTTCAACCCAGTAAGATCCAAGAGGCAGAAGAGGACAGACCAATAATATAATCTCCTTTATCACAAGCACACTGGGACTATGTGGCCCCTTAATCCTGATCACACAGGACAGCCATTCTCCAAGGAAGAGGTGAGAAGGGAAGGGGACAAGGTGTAGGGAAACTGTGAAGGAGATGCAGAGAAGGTGGAGAGTCAGGAAGGAGCGCGGGGAAGCCCGACAGATGTCCCACACTGTTCTGCTATTGTGGAGTGGAGCTGACAAAACAAAACTGTGCCCTCACAGCCCCAATGATCTATTTTATTTGAATACCACACTCTAAATTTGCATTAAGAAAATTCCCTCCAAATGTCAACTTCCAAATAGTGTGATGGGACAAAGGAACATATCAGTTTCACTTCAGAACAATGGCTGCATTTAGAAATTGGGAGGGGGGGGCTGGAAATGTAGCTCAGTGGTAGAGCACTTGCCTATCATGCATGAAGCCCTGGATTTAATCTCCAGAACTGCCAAAAAAAAAAAAAAATTCCTCCATACTTGATCCTCATATGGGAGGGAATTCTTTGATGCTTATCCCCTCATGCAGAACTGTATTCCCACAAAGCCATATAAATTATACATGTATGCACATCCCTGTTATTACAGCGGCCTGACTGTGAACCCCTTGAGGGCAGGCCATGTCTTCTACATTGCTATTTTCTCCAGCTCTAGAAAGACTACCTAACATGTAACAGATGATCCATAATGTCATCTAAAAATAACATTCAAATGAAGATGGATATTTTCAATGCCCAATATGACATTCAATTTTTTTATAAAAATGTATCTTACTTTTTTATTGTTCTATGATATAGTTACTACTGTTCGTAAAGTGTTGTCAAAGTTTTGTGTAAGAGCTGAGGTTCATAACTGCTAAATATTCCAAGCAATTTACAACCTCAACAAATTAAATTGTAATGAGTATATCGCTTTTAATGTATAAGATATTCATAGAGAACAATATGCCAGATGGCAAAAGGATATTATCCCAGAGGGCCTGCTGCTGCTTCTCTGAATATGACAGATGGTTATGTTTATCACAGGATTAACTTCAGCAAAACTTTACTCCCACCCACTGAAAAAATTATGTGATTACAGAAATCCACAAAAATAGTATCTTAGCAGACACATCAGTCCCACAAAAGGGCGCACTTGTACTTACTTGTTAAAAAGGTGATTGTCCACCTTTATCTTTGAATAGGCTTTGAAGTCATCTGGCATCAACATAACAGGGATTTGAACATGGCTCAGTTCATTGATCTAGAAAAACAGGAAATAAATGGCACCAGTTATTACTATCTAGATGGGAAGGACTTGACTTGAATCCATACTTGCAAAGAAAACCTGGTGGACACAGGAACTTCCTTGCCCACCCACTCTCCTTCCTCCTTACTTCTATCCTAAGCTCTCTCATCCTGTCTAACTCATTTCCTCATTAGACTTTACCATTGCCTGATAGCTCCCATCCAGCTCTAGTTCCAACTCCAACTTCTCTCTGTCTGACTCTGGGTCTTGGTGGCAGCCAGATGTAATAGCAAAGGAGGAATACTGGGAGGGGGTAGCACAACCCTCAAGGCCACTTGTCCCTGTTTCTCCTCCATCTTCCTCCTGCAGACTCTAGACCAGGGTTTTTTTTTTTTGCGTTGCTCAGGATGGAGCACCAGGGTCCTTGCATATGCTAGGCAAGTGCTCTGTCCTCAGCCCCTTCCTCAGCCCCTTCCAGACTTTTTTTTTTATGGTACTGGGATTTGAACTCAGTGCCTTATACTTGCTAGGGAGGCACTTTACCACTTGAGTCATTCCATCAGCCCTTTTTTGCGTTGAGTATTTTCAAGTCAGGGTCTCTCTATTTGCTTGGGCTGGCTTCAAACCATGATCCTCCTAATCTCTGTTTCCTGAGTAGCAAGGATTATAGGTGTGGCCCTCAGTGCCAGGCCTCCCAGAGATTCTTTGACAACTTTGACATTGTCAGGACAACTTCCTTCTATAAAGAAAACGTTATAGACTTCCCTCTATAAACTTCCCTCTATAAAGAAAATGTTATCTGAGGAAGAGGGATTTCAAATCTTCAAACATTTGTTGAATTAATTGACAAGATTTGTTGATTGATAAACATGATACATACATTTGAGCATCCAAAGAATAACAATGATATCCATGTTGTCTTTATTTATTTATTTTTTTAATAGGAACTAAGTACTGGGGTGGGGTATAGATTTACAACAGAGGAACTTTCACTGAAGGAAGGAGAAAGACACTTGCCCTGGGATTCCACAGGGAGGTCAGTCTGGGCTACAAAGTGAGTTCCACACAGCCACCCTGAGCTGCATAGTGAAATCCTATCTCAAAAAACAACTACAATACACCAACAACCAAAAATGCAAAGATGTGGTTCCAGAGGACAAAGGGTGGTAAGTATCCAATTCCATTTTTACGTGGTGAGTGGCGGGTACAGCTTTTGATACATGACTTTGAAAAAACTGAACTTTCTTTTGATTAATTGTTTTGCATCTCAGTTCTTAAGCTAAATTCCTCCTTTGCTGATAGCAACAAAAACCACTTTAAAGGTTTATACTTCCAGCAGAATGGAAGGTACTTTATAGGGCTCTCAGTTCCAAAAGGCAAAAACAGGCTGGAGGGGTGGCTGAAGTGGTAAGCGCCCCTGCCTAGCAAGTGTGAAAAACAAACCAAACCAAACAATGCACAAACAAAAACAAGCAAGCAAACAAACAATGAGTTCCTTGATAGAGCACATTAAAAAAAAATTGCTGAGTTCATAGAAAGCAGAAGAAATCTCCAGGACACCTTCCTTCCCCCAGTGAATATAATCCACAGAGTTTAGACCACTCTGTGATGATCCTTAAGCAAGTCTGAGAACTAATGCCAGTTTCAACACTTTCTTGGGCCAAAGCTGGAGGGCTGGGGGAAAGGCTTAAAGAGAACACAGGGGACTTGAAAAAGTGATTGCAAATTCCTGTAAAATGTGAGAGAACAAGTTGGAAATGAGAAGTGGGTCTGAGCTGAGGATCCGTTTGTAGTCTGTGATAGTTGAATTGTTGACAGTGACATGCCTCAGGGTACAGGCTCAGAGGCAGATGGTGAGTGAGGTCCTTTAGGTTTGAAGATTTTGCTTTTCAAGTGTGATACAAAGGAGTTCTAGGACAAAATTGGTACAAAATACTCTGACCACCTGGAGTTTCCACTGTAGTTGATAGGGCACAACATTCAAATCCAAGAGTCCAAAACAATGTGAAACCTAGTCAAATAAGTGTCATGGGAACTCAGAGCAGGATTACACTGTCACAGATGGGAGTGAAGGGCTTCTTGGAGGGAGTGAAGCCTGGTGTCGTTCTGGAGGGGTGGAAAGCTGAATAGTGTGTCATTTAAATGTCTGTGTACTTTTAGTTATTTCTATAAGTCCCATCTTCATAAGTCAGGTTACCCCAAAAGGTAGGGAATGTTTGGTCCTCACCATTAGGGAAGACAAGAAACGAGAAGCCAAATCAAAGAAAATTGTACCAACACTTTCGTTTACATATAAGGTGTTGAAATTAAAAGAGATCACAGAGGTTCTGTAGTCTCGTCTCTCATTTTGCAGATCATAACACTTACTGGTCTAGCTAAATCTCTACCTGTATGTGTGAGGAGTAGGTTGATACTAAGTTATTTTAGCTATTTCATGCTACTTTGTCTTTCTTCCAGATTGCCTTTCATTCACAATAGCTATACATTTCCTTTCTTCCTCCCTTGCTAAATTGTTTTTCCAAACTTCTTAGCCAGTGAGTGGCTAGATTTAATGAACAAATACTTTATGAATCAGAGGGCCAATCACTTAAAGGAAGCTTTTAATTAGTAATCAATATTTTTAAAGCAGTGCACCCATGAATTCCTACATTATTTTTTTTCTGTAGGCATGTTTTATTTTGTATATGAAGGTCAACAGTTATTCATCAGTTTTAAGGAAAGGTTTTAACTTCAGCACTACTTGATAACTGAAGCTCATTTAACTTCCAGGATAACAGTCCCCTTTGTCTTATTACCGTGCCATTACACAAACTAAAAGGTATTGGGGGTCTCTAGTTCAAATTCATGAGCAGATGCAGCTGAAGTCAATGAGTAAGTCAATCCTATTTACTTATTAACTATGAATAAGCATTCATATATGTCACTTAGGTCTCTGGCTGTGAATTTGCAGATTTCAGGACAAAATTCTTGGGTTTCAAAGTCTTCAGAGAAAATTTAAATTTATTAGTTTGGCATTCTACCTAGCCTGATCATTCTATATGGCCCATGCCAAAACTGGTAGCAAAACTAACAATGGTTTATTATTAGTATTTTATCTATTTACTTCCTATTTGTTTATTTTTTTTGCAGTGCTGGAGTTACAACCTAGGACCCTGCTAGGCTAGTGTTCTATTATTGAGCTGTTTCTCTAGGCCTTAGTGTTCTCTTTCTAAACAAAGCACTTTCTGTTTGTCTTTATAGATACTTAAATTGGGTACACACACATGTATTTCTGTAGGTTATATAATATTCATGCACGGAAACAAAAAGATTTGTGTTACTAATGCTATTCTGAAGGGAAAAATAATATGCCCCACCCCTTAGGAGCAAGCACACATTAGGAAATCCAAATAGTTTTTAATTTACAGAGATAAAAGTAGTTTTGGAGTTTATTAAACTTTTATTAGGTCAGCCAAACAAACTGAAAGCACTAGTTTTACTATTCAGGGCACATTTATGGTTCTTTCAGGTTGCAAATATTTAATGAACTCTTACAAAAAAAGGGCAATACCATTTTATACTTGTGAAATACCAAAATGTTTTCATTCTGTTTGTGCTGACAGTCATATTTATGGTACTATACAGCTTATAATTTTGTAAGTATATTAGAAATATTTCCATACAGAGGGGCCATAGGCTGGGACCTGTGCCCTTAAGGGACCTTGTGGACTTATTTACACCATGCAGTCACCCTCAAAATATAAGTGTGGATCAGCATTGCCTTCCTGCCTAGCTGTTGGGCATGGATGCTGACAATGATGGGCCCAACATATGACATAAAATAAAGGAAGGAGTTTTGTTGTCAACCTCCATAGAAACAAGGGGGTGGGGCAGGGAAGGCTGGGGAGAGGGAAAATACAAAGTTCCTGTTCCTGGCTGTAATTCAAGAGTGAAGGAGCAGGGAAGGCAGAGAGGAGCTGGCATGGGTGGTGGAGGAAGGCAGTTGGAGAGATCTACTAAGGTCCCAGACTCAGCTTTGTCTGAATTCACTTTACTACTTAGCGCTAACCTCACTGCTAACAGTTACTGGATATTTGCCAAGTACTACGTTAAACACTCTGGAGACAGTATCTTATTTCATCTTCATTATTCCCATTTTACAGATAAGGAAATTGGGGCTTAGTGAGATTAGGTAAGACATAGCTACTAAGTGGTAGCTGTACCTGGAATCCAGCCTAAGTAGGTCAGTCTTCTCCAGTCAAGGCAACTTACTGGAGTTGGCTGCCTCAGATGTAAGATTCAGAGACCTGAACTGGCTGAGCCTAAGATCTTTTCAAATTCCTTTCAGCCTATGTACTTATAATTCACAGGAAGTTCATAAAATGACTACCTAAAATTTATGTCTTCATTGTGTTAAAAACTTCTAAAGAATATCTTTTTAAAGTAGTATTAAATAGTATAAATGCATGTCTAATTGAATATGCACCGTGGTCTTCAATTATAACCAGCTGTGGTTTCAGCAGGTGGAAAGGTCTGTGTCACTGAAGTTTTAATTCCTTTGACATTCCTGTCACTTCCAAAAAGGGAAATAAATATTCTTCAAGCTCTATTTAAATCTGAGTGAATCATAAATAGTATCCTTGAAGAATAAAAAATGGATTTCCAAGGCAGTTATTTACTAGACACAATTGTCTGAGTCTTCCTTGATGAAAAAATTATGATTAACACAAAGCATAGTGAACTTTATGTGGAACTTTTCTTTTAAAATGCTACACAGACTGGAGGTGTGGGTCAAGTGGTAGAGTACCTGCTTTGCAAGTGTGAAGCCCTGAGTTCAAAACCATCTCACCAAAAAATAAATAAAAATAAAATAAATACTGAATAGACCAACACAGAAAAGGCATTTTGATTCCTCTCCTTACCAAGATAGTCAAATTTTCATCCTGTGCAAGGTACCTCCAACAATGTAAAACTTTTTCTGTGAGTCAAATCTACTGATTGAAACAAGCCTCACTCCTGCAGATTGAGAATGAATTCATGCTGGCAAGAAAACAGAGGTTGTAATTAAAGTCACACAAAAGGGGAGGGGTGAATAATAAATGGGTACTGGACAAGGAATAAATGAGACCAAGCTGAATCTAACTCACAAAAAAGTTTTACAGTGTTAGAGGTAATCTGCATGGGATGGAAAATTGAAATTAAGGCATACACGTGTCCCCTGAATGCCTTTTCTTATTGTTGATATTTAAAAAAAAACTTCACTAATTTATAGGATTTTTAAATCAAACAAAGTATTTGTTCATAGTCTTCACCAGCTATTCAGCAGATAAGGGATTAATATCCAGAATGTACAAAGAGCTCAAAAAACTAAACAGCCAAAGGACAAGTAATCCAACTAATAAATGGGCAAATGGATTGAACAGACAGTTCTCAGAATAAGAAATGCAAATCAAAACTACAACTAAATTCCATCTCACCCCAGTCAGAGTGGCCATCATCAAGAAAAGAAACAACTACAAATGCAGGTGAGGATGTGTGTGTGGAGAACCCTTATACACTGTTGGTGGGAATGTAAACTAGTGTAACCACTATAAAATCAGAATGGAGGTTTCTCAAAAAACTAAAAATAGACCTAACTTCTGACCCTGCCATATTTATCTTGGGCATATATCTGAAGGAGTGTATATCAATATACAAGAGAGATACCTACCTACTCATGTTTATTGCAGCGCTCTTCACAATAGCCAAATTGTGGAATCAGTTAAGGTGCCCAACAACTGACGAATGGATAAAGATTACACACACACACACCATAGACTATTACTCAGCCATAAGAAAAAATGAAATTTTGTCATTTTCAGGAAAATGGATGAAACTGGAGATCATGCTGAGTAAACCAAGCTCAAAAGGCCAAATATTGCATGTTCTCACTCATTTGTGGAACCTAGACCTAAAATTATGATAATGATGATGACACTGGGACATAAATGTATATGGACGACTGTCTGGGTGGGACCAGTGGGAGGGGAGAAGGGAAGAGGACGGGATACTGAGGTATGAAGAGGATAGAAGGATGCTGCATGAATACTTGTACGTATGAAGACAGCATAATGAACCCCACCACCGTTTGAAGGCGGGGAGGGGGAGATGGGAATATAATGAAGGAGATGAACTTGTTTAAGGTATGCTCACACATGTAATCCTAGCTACTCAGGAGGCAGAGATCAAGAGCATTGAGGACAGAGGCCAGCCTGGGCAAATAGTTTGAGAGACTCTATCTTAAAAATACGCAGCACAAAAAAGGGCTGGCAGAGTGACTCAAGTGGTAGAGCACTTGCGTAGCAAGCGTGAGGCCCTGAGTTCAAACCCCAGTACTGCCAAAAAAAAGTACACTGTATGCATGTATTGAATTATCACAGTGAAATCCCCTTGTATTATTAATATAAAATATATCAAAAATCAAAACTTACACAAGAATATTTTCGTACATTGTGAGGCATGAATCAATGACAATTCAGATCTATTCACTCTAAGCACCATGTTCTCAGACTCACATATTATTAAAAATTGAGTTGCATTCAACCAAGAATGCACAGCAAGGAGCAAAAAACAAAGCCCCCCAAACCAACCAAACCCCCTCCCCCATGTGTAGTAAAGCCACTCAGATACTTAATGTGATTACAGTAAAGACAATTGCCTACAAATGATGACTCACTGAGATGAAATAGAAAGCCCCTAGTGTGGGCAGCTGCAGGCTGCCCTGCTGAGCACACAGAGGGTCCTGGGGGCAGAGCTGACTTTGGGCAGTAAGTCCATCTGAGACTGGGGCAAGAAGGGAGACAGCAGAAGGAGCAGGAATGATCTTGACCCATTCCTGCTCCTCCAAATCTTCAGATGCACACTTAAAAGGGTGTACTTGATTTTCTGAACAACATTCCTACCACTTTCACAGGAGAGCATATTTTAAATTCAGTAACAAAAACAAAGTGGAAGTCTTGCAAAGTGATAACGAGAGCAGAAGAAGCACCAACTATTCAACATCAGCAAGGACCCAATGGGAAAAAGGAGTGCAATGTGTAACTTGACATGATTGTTTTGTATGCTATTTTAAAGATAATTAATTACTTAGGGAAATCAAATAATAAATATGCCATACCAGATTCCCTTAGACTTTACCACATTTTCAGTTGCATCTAGCTTTACAATAAAAAATGTGATATGAAATCACCATTACTGTTAAAAATTCCCCCCTTATTACCTCTACATATCAGTATTTAAAAATAGATACTTTCTACTGGCTTCATCCTAAAAAAAAAA